AAGACTTTTGAGTGCTACTGTAGGTCTCCTAGTCCCATTACAGCAATGGATATCAACTGATCAGAATCTAACTTCTCCCTCGCATGTTCACTTCATCGAATTCCTGTGCCGTAATGCTCCCAAAGAAACATATACTTGTTGCCTAGTCATTCGCCTTCCACTATAAAGNGAGATAATCCATAGCAGTTTCTGCTGGTGAATATGGCTGATTTAGGAGCAGATCCCATTGCTTATCGAAGTAGTAAAGCCTAATTTTGCGAATATGCGGATGGTTTTTTGAGTATATTCTTGTAGAGGAAATCAAGTAGATCATTTCTAGAAAAAAAACCGAAATCAACATTCAGTTTTTATGGGGAGAAAAAAAGCCGCGAAAAAATCCGCAATAATTATGCATCAACCTCTCTATGGGGAGAAAAAAAGCCGCGAAAAAATCCGCAATAATTATGCATCAACCTAATAGGAGTTTCGTATGATTAGGTCTAGTAGGAAAGGGGTTATGACTGAAAAGTATGACTGAAGAAGAATTCGGCCGAAGACTTTTGAGTGCTACTGTAGGTCTCCTAGTCCCATTACAGCAATGAAAAATCAACTGATCAGAATCTAACTTCTCCCTCGCATGTTCACTTCATTAAATTCCTGTGCCGTAATGCTCCCAAAGAAACTTATACTTGTTGCCTAGTCATTCGCCTTCCACTATAAAGTGGGATGACTGTTCAGACTGATCGGATGTCCCTTTCTCACTGCAGACAAATGATCAAAACTGTAGAAAAGCATTGGGAAGGTGACTCACCCTAACTGAAGGCTTCGAACCTCGACAGGATCTACCCTTACTTCTGTCCAGCTTACACGTCTCTCTTGCGACAGGATAGCGTTCGTTCGTTAGTAGTACAGCATCCACGAATGCAAATTCTTCTGGATTTATCGACGAATCTACAAAATCCCAGAACTCTCAAATATGATGATGAAGATGTGGACTCATGATGCGGGCTTCCTCCTTTGCCTCTAGAAGTGAGTCAGTTCTGCTTAACAATGCGATCAGTTCGAGAGTGAGCAGAAGCTGCTCTATTTCTCTGCTATGAATACATTCAATGCTGTTTTTATTTTAATACATCACGGTCACACCCTTTCATTTAGGTTCTAAGCAGCTTGCATTTTGCGGCGTGTAAGGTTCAGAAGCTACTTTTGTAAGGATGGAACTTCTGAGCGCAGGCACCCATGCAGAACGGCGCATGAAAATGAAGGAGCATCTTTGTTACCCTCCACCAACCTTCTTCATTGTTTCATTTTTTGAATAATGACAGCTTACTTGTTCCTCCACAAGTGATATACTGGTTCGCTCCTGTTCGTTTTCGTGTACCTTTCGCTTCCGTTCCCGTCTTTCCATCCACGCAATAGCACCATTCTCGCTTTGCATCGCACTGCAGTAATTCGTAATTACCTGAAAACTTTTCCATACAATTTTCCCTTTACAAATAATCGCTAAAGATAATGCGAAAATCAAGCTATAAATGAGGAAGCCCAAGAAACAATAGATGGAAAATGTTAGCAGAAGGTTATGCAAAACCACTAAGTAAATTTAGAGACTGAAGATTTTGCCATACCTAGGACAACATCGCATTTCGGTATGAATGTTCCACGGGGAGGAGTTCCATCAGCAAACATGCTCTTCAAAGCGTTATGGCAGTCTAAACGCAGAGGTTTGCAACGATAAAAAAAGACAAAAACGTCACGGTGCTATCTTGTAAAGAGGGTAACGTTATAT